CTCTCTCTCTCTCTCTCTCTCTCTCTCTCTCTCTCTCTCTCTCTCTCGGTTTCTCTGGATTGGACGAACCCGAAGGAGTTGCGGGTTGTTGGAGTCGGTCGGGAGGAGAACGGGGCTTCGACATCGGCGATCTTCCATGAGTTCGGAAGCAACGACGGGAGAGGTAGGGAGAAGAGTCGTGACGGGAGCTCGATCGTGTGTGGAAATGGGGAGGAGAAGCAGAGGCAGTGAGAGCTTTGGGTCGGTATTTAACGAAGAGGATGAAGCTACGGATCGCAGGATTTTCGGGATACGACGCAGACGGCGCCGAACGACTGGATTTGCGGAGGATTTCGTGGATCCAATGGTTCTACAGGTATTTTGATTTGATTTTTTTTTTTTTTGTTCCTGCTGGGTTAATGCTTAGAGATCAACATTTGGTACTTTAAAAACAAATGGAAGGATAGAAAATGTTCAATGGAGGGGTGGCCAAATCTGGTGAAGAGCTTAACTGAGGAAGACAAATCCATGCTTACCAAGGAATTCACATTTGAAGAGCTGGAGAAGGTGATAAAAGATCTTGGAGGGAACATAGCACCAGGGATTGACGGTATGACTTATACTTTCTTTAAAAGCTATTGGCACATTATTAAAAATGATCTTTGGAAGGCTATGGATCATTTTTTTATAAATGGAAGGATGAATGATAAATGGAAAGATACTATCATAGTATTAATTCCAAAAATCAAAAATCCTTTAACTCCATCAAATTATAGACCCATTAGCCTTAGTAATCTGGTTTATAAGATCGTAGCAAAGATGATCATGAACAGAATGTCACTTGTTATTCACAAGTTAATTACAGAAGAACATACTGCATTTTTGATGGGCAGAACTCTTTATGATCATGTTCTGGTAGCTAAAGAAATCTTCAGTAAGTTTCAGGCATTCGAAATCAAAAAAGGGATTAGTATCATATAAGATAGATATGGAATAAGCAAACAATTCTATGGGGTGGCCTACGTTGATTAAAATTTTGGAATATTTCGGATTTCCAACAATGCCTTGCTAATCTTATTGCTGAATGTGAGCTTAATCCAAGGTATTCTTTGTCTATTAATGGAGTTCTTTCCAGTTGAATTGACACCAGGTGTGGATTTTGTCAGGGGTGCCCGTTATCTCCATTTTTGTTCATCATGTGTGCTCAACTCTTCTCCAATGCTTTCATTCACAAAGAAGATAAAATTGGTATAGGAATTTATCCCAAGGGACCAAAAATATCCCATATGTTGCATGCAGATGACATAATAATTTTCTCTGAAGCTAAAATGGAGATAGTCAAGGAAGTCAAAAGCTTAATCACGGATTTATGTGATTGGACGGGTCAAAGTGTGAACTTGAACAAGTCTGGCATTCTGTTTGGGAAAGCTGTAGGGAGAAAGAAGAGGAAAAAAATCTGCAGTTTAATGAAGAGTGCTGACTTCCATTTCATTGTTGACAGAACAATGAGCAAGAATGGAGTTTGGGGATGCAAGTTCCTTTCTATGGCAGGAAGGATAACATTAGTTAAATCTGTTTTACCCTCTATTCCCACATTTCACTCAACTCTCTCATTGGTCCCAAAAAAAAGTATTGACTGAAGTGGAAAAGCTATGTAGAAGATTCATATGGAATAAGAATGATGGAAGTGTTGGTCTTCATTATGTTAATTGGGAAGTTATGTGCAAACCAAAAGGATTGGATGGACTTGGCATCAATTCTTGTTTAAAGAAATCTGGACCTTTGAGGGCCAGATTAGCATGGAAGTATGGGCAACAAAAAGACTCTTTAATTCACAAATTTCTATTCCCAAAATATGGGAATATCAATGAAAGAGGTGCAGCTAGAAGTGAGAGATATGAAACTTGGAGAATTCTTTGCAATGGAGAGAAATATTTGAAACCAATTGTAAAATGGTCAGTTGGTGACGGTAAATCTATACAAGCTTTCAAAGACATTTGGTTGCTGGATAAGAGCCTGGAGAAATGGCCAACATTTGTTAATTCAATGGTACATTTTGATCTATCAGTTGATACTTTTATAAGTAATGGAGAATGGGATAACATGGAACTACAGAAATATTTTGGAATGGATTTGATTACTTTGATTAAATCCATTAGTTTATATCCTAACGGAGGAGAAGACAAGCTAGAACTAATACAAAAGTTTTCTGGAAAGACAATTGCAGCTATAGCATCGGAAGCAATGATAGAAGACTATAACTCTGAAGCTGTTTGGAAAGGATTGAAGAAAGTTAAACTTAATCCGAGAATATTTCTGTTTTGGTGGAGGCTTTTTAATAAAGCAATTCCTACCAATAATTTTCTATGTTACTGGAGGTTACAGGAACATGATAACTGTCCTAGAGGCTGTGAAGAAACAGAAAACTTTGATCACATAGCAGCAGGTTGCTGTAAACTCAAGTAAGTCATTGGAATATTAAACAGTTGGGGTTTGGGTTTCCAACTATGAACTCAATAAAAGATTGCTGTGATTGGATGGATAAAAATAGTAAATGGATGGCAAAATTGTATTGCAATGCAGTATACTATTCCTAGAAGGCAAGAAATCTATATGTTCACGAAATGAAGAATACAAGTCCTCTGATAATAGCAACCAATGCTGTTAGTATTTCGGCTGTCATTAAGAATTTTACTTGTATAAATTCAGGTATTGAGGATGTCAATCAACCGAATAGGTTGTCCAATACTTGGCATCCTCCTCCACCTGATTGGATCAAAGACAATATAGATGCAGCTCTTTTCAAGAATTACAAATCTGGAATTGGAGGAGTTTTCAGGGACGGGCAAGGCAGATTACTTAAGGCTTTTGGTAAGTCTTATGTTCACTGGAATGCAGCGGATATGGAGCTACAGGCAATCATTTCGATCAAATCTGAAATTAAGTATTGGATGTATGAATATAAAGGTTTGATCATTGAAGGAGACAACAAGAATGTAATGAAGTACATCAAGGGAATGGTGGATAAGGGCGGAGAAGGTATGAAAGACATTTCTTTCATCAAAGATTTTCATTATGTTTTTTTCAATTGTGTAGGAAGGGATAGCAATAAGTTAGCAGATCTCTGTGCTAACTATGCTTGTCTTAGCTCTTTTTGTTGGGATACTATAGATATTAATAAAATCCTTCCTTCCTTTATCAATTTGTTAAAGGAGTCGGATGAGTGTAGGTTGTAAAAATTTTCTTTAGATTTGTTCATCAATAAAGCTTTTATGCTTTGGATTCAAAAAAAAAGGTAAATCATCATTGAGTGGTGAACCTATATATATAAAATGTGCAGCAAGAAAATCTGTTCGAATTTATCCTTTCATGCTTTTGAGACATGTAATATCAAACTTCAGTAAAATAATTACCCACTTGGCAGGACAACCTATCAACATTGGTCTTATTATCGAGAACATTAACAGATAAACCTTTGATATTAAAATGACTTTAAGAGAAAGTATATAATGGCAAAGTTTATGAATAGCAAAAATCAAAGCTAAACAATATTTCTCAATTGGAAAATAGCGCATTTCTGCTCTAATTAACCTTTTGACTAATATAATTGAGATCACTATCCTCTGTTTAAAATTGCGCAACGAGAGGCGCGCCTCTGCGCAATCTTGTCCAAAAACGCCCTGAGGCGAACGCAATTCATGGAGTTGTTGAGGCGTACGCCTCACAGTAGCTGAGGCGCGCCTTTGTTGCGTAATTGTGCAATTTAGAGAGAGGCGTACGCCTCAGCCAAGAGGCCCCACCCACTTAAAATGAACATTTCATTTCCCCCACACCCGTTCGGCCCTCCTCATTCCCGAAAACAATCGCCCGTAAGCTCATGTTCGCGGAAAACAAAGGAGCGCGCACGGTCGGCCTCCAATCCCGCCGCTCCTCCCGCCGGCGCCGTCTCTCTCCGGCGAAGTGGAATCTTCCGGCCGCCCTCTAGGAGTACTCCACATTGAATTTTAGGTATTTTTATTAAGTTTAGGGATTAGGGGGATCAACTTGAAAAAATAAATCATTCTAGAATATTAACATTTTATTTTTAATTAATTAGTCATTATAATATTTTATTTTAATTAATTATTAATTTTAATCTTCTAGGAGTTTTAATTTAAATAAAAAAGGCATAATATTTTAAACAGGCTTTCCATTGCAGCAGAGTGGATGCGTGTTGAATTTCCTCTAAATAATCTGAGTTCGAATCCCACCTCACGTGAGCGGGAGTGTGGGCGAGTAGGCAAGGTGAGCGGTGGCAGTTGGAGCAACAGGTAGGGAACACGGGCGGACAACTAGGGTCGTGCGCAGGCAACAGGGGCAACGTCTGCGGGCAGTTTTGGGTTATTTTATTTTTCTGGTTAAAATTTATTTTTATTTTCTTACGCGGCTTTTACCAGCGGAATATTTTCCGTTGAAAATTGAACGTTTTCATGTAGTGATAATATAAAAAAAAACATCCATAAACTTTTCATTGTAATGATGCACCCCAGAAGCATGGTTAATGTTTAAGCTATTATTATTACAAGTTGTTAAGTTTCAGCGTAAGATTTGTTTCATGCATGATGCATTGTTCATTAGCTTATTAGGAAGCTCAATATAGACTGCGGAGAAAAACCAAAAGCTAAAAGCAAGCCAAACTATAATGCAAGAAAATATCCATACCTGAAGGGAGAAGCTGCATCGCTTTGCTTTCAGAGATTCTTGGTGCCAACAAGATATGATGCCCAGACCTCATCAGCAGGTGGTGGTGGCTGTACCCAGTGGCCAGGTATCCGACTGCAGTCAGGACAAGGACTTCAACAAATAAATCAATCAGAAAAACAATGTTGAAATGATATGCATTAAGAAGAACAATGTTAGAAACAATCTATGTGGAAGTAATGTAACAAAAAAGATCTTACTTTGAATATCTACATAACCATTCCATGGCAATGACATGGATGCAAATCTCAAAGATTACATTCATCATAAAAACAAGATATGAGCATCGAGAAGAGCAAATTGGCAATCTTAGTACTTCCTTATCTTGAGGTTATTTAATTTTAGTAGTTTATGGATTTCAAGTTCAATTTTCTTTCAAATCATGTCTATGATATATTCCCTATGATAACTGGTTGTGTCATCTGGTCCAATTCTTTGTTCTAGTAATGATTTTTATATACTTCCCCAGTCTAGTTCGACTCTATGTTCAAGTGGCAATTTTGGCTCAATTCAATCCACTTGTCAAAACATTCGATCCCAGATAAGATTTGCAATCTAGCTTTATCACAGCTTGACTTGAGATTGGGTTATGTATTGGAGATACAATTTAGTGATTGCAGATGACTCAACCATAAGCGTGGGCTTAAAGGTTGAGAATGGACAATGGCGAGACTCATGGTCTTGAAATGAAAGTGGCCCATAGGTGGGACTTACAGTTACTCCATATGTGACTAGCCAAAGAGTTGGTATTTGTTAAGTTATGCTTCATAACATGGATTTGACTTATTGGCTTTAAATTTTCAATTTTAAGCCTTAGACTTACATACTGCTGAAGAAGGCTAAGCAAGTGAACTCCATATTCAATTCAACCAACACGACGATAGTGACAGGATGAATGGGGGATCACACAAGTTCAGCTCGAAGTACACCACACAAATATAAAAAACGGTCAAATGTTGCGCAATCCACGAACACTGTAAACGAGCTCGAGCCGCTCGCGAGCCTCCAACGGTCCACGAACTGCGATCTTCCACGGCTTGGTCCGCCTTCCGCGAACTCGCAAGCCCCAACGGTCCTCAAACTCAAACACGAGCGCACGCAATCAGCCAGTCTGCCTCGAACTTGTAATTTTAAACCTCCCGGTCGACCGCCTTCCGAGCTCCAACACACTTACACTCGTGTGGTCCACCTCGAATCGCGAAATTAGCAGGCGGGATATTTAAAATTGTCGGCAGGACCGCAGGATTTTTAAAAGGTTTAACATTTATTATTATTTTTTTAATATTCAAATTTCATAAATAAATTAAAAATTCTTTAAAAAAATATTAAATGTGATTCGAGCCGGCTCGCGAGCCGAGCTTCATCAAGCTTGAATTCAAGCTCGTTTAATAAATGAGCTCGAGCTCAAGCTGGCTCGGCTCACTTACACCCCAAGTTAGGACACCAACTATATATATTTTATAAGCATGATGAGTAGACCCACCTCTCTCATAAATGCCACTAGGCATTTAGCCATGTAAGCCTCTAGGAGATTACCATATTTTGAACTAATAAGACCCCAGAAGAACAAAATTAAAATGATTCCTACGGATACTAATGTAGCATAAAAACGGACCTAAATATAAAATTACAAACTAAAAAAATTAAGATGAATGAAAATAAAATTGCAAGCTAGGAACCGAAAAGAACAAGAATTGGACACAAAAGAACTTATAGGAGACTCGACAGCTCACTTGCAAGCATGAGATATCCAAAACACTCAACAGTCAGTAATATGATCCCTAATTGCACATGAAAATGACCAAGTGGGAACCCCTATTAAAAGGCGAAGGGATATTTTTTTGGGGTCTAGTTGAACATGCATGTGGATTAAATACAAACCCAACATTGCTTTGAATGCAAAACAAGAAGAAAAATTACAACCATACTACAACACAAGCATGCAAGCAAACACAATTCAATCATTAAAGCTAAAACTGAAAAGATTACGCGCATTTTAATGACAACGAATTCACGCAAGTGATTACTTTTGAAAAAAAAAAATTGTGCTAACTCATCAAAAGGCATGCACGTCCTCTAAAAGCATATCAAACTATCAAAAGCATCACTACAAGTGCTTGCATAATCATGCTAAAATCTTGCAATTAAAGTCAAAAATTACTCTGCGGACTAAAAAAACAAATTCAATTATTGACTCACTCTAAAAATAATGCAACTACTTCAGAAGCGTGCAATCACATTGGAATTCAACACATTTTCTTTTAAACCGAAACTCATCATATTGCATGAAGTTACCGAATGGGTTGCCTTGTCTATGAAATAGAGTCATAAGTCATACTTTTAAAGTACAATCCTCTACGTGATAAGTAGTAGAGTCAACAAGATTTGTGTGACAAATTAAAAAACAATCACGAAAAAAAAGCTGGTTTTAAACTTCCACACACAATCTAATTAAGAAATCTTGCATCATCACATCAATAACAACATCAAGCCTTTATCCCACTATGTGGGGTAATTCTTTTTTTCTATCTTGTCTTATTAAGAGTCAAATTCTCATTTAAATCTAATAAAAAAAATGTCATTTCTAATAGTTTCTAACCAAGTCTTTTTAGGCCTAACTCTATATTTATTAATATAGACCAAATTTAATACATCTACTCTTCTAGCCGGGTCATTGAAAGGCCAGCGTTATATGTGACCAAACTATCTAAGACAACTCTCTCAAATCTTATATGCCACTGCAACTACTCCTATGATGTACCGACACTTCTCAAAGAGGCGTGCAAAGTTCAACATGTATCAGACACAACACATGTCCGACACTCCTCCAACACGTGTCGGACACACCGAAAAATGTCTGATTAAAAATGTATTAAATACAAATTGAACACACATGTCCGACACACATATCTTAAATATTTTATGAATTTTTTTAAATATAAGTATTGAAAATTTTTACTTATTTCAAATATAAAAACTAAATTTCTTATTTCCTATCCACAACATCAAACCAACCACCCACACATAATACCCCATTCATCGAATATTCTCATTTTCATTTCTCTTTGGCGGGTTACAACTTTGATTTCACAACAATGTCAGATATCATCTCAACATCGACGTATGGCGTTGTTACAACATCAACATTTCAAAACAATCTCCATATCAAAGTCTGACGTCGTCTTTAGATTGAAGCTCGATGCTAGCAATTTCTACACTCACAACTTGACATCTCATCTTTGTCCAACGTCTTCTCAACATCGACGACCAACACCCTCTCAACATCAACGACCAACACCCTCTTAACATTAACTCTCAATATTTACTGCATAACATCAATGTCAGACTCTCGACATCATTGTCATCTTCTCTCTCGGTGACTGATAAACGACATCAACGCACAACTCTCAACATCTTAATATTAATCATTTAAAGCACAAATTCTAATTAATGATTTATTATTTCTAAATTATTTTTACAATTATATTTATTCAATTTTTATACACTAATTTTTAAATTATAAAAACTATAATACCGTGTCCAACCCGTGTCCGTGTCCAATATTTTCAATAATTGACGTGTCCGTATCGTGTCATATCCGTGTCGTCGTGTCCGTGTATGTGCATCATAGAGCTACTCCAACCATTTTTACATACATATTGGATTCGCATTCTATCTCTAATAGTAAAGCCACTCATCCATTTAGCATCCTCATCTCTGCGATACTCAACTTAATTTTATGCCCCTTTTAATAGCCAATATTCTGTGCCATAAAGCATCATAGGTATCACCACCATCTTATCAAATTTTCCCTTAAATTTGAGGGGTGCTTTTCTATCACACACATTCCTCCACTTCAACAATCCAACTTGAATTCTAATAATAATATTCCCATCTATTTCACCAGCACTTTGAATAATAGACACAACATATCTAAAATACTTAGTCTTTTTAATGACTTGATCACTCAAAATCATAATCCCCCATAACATCACACACGGGAATTTAATGCTTGAGTACGAATCTCGCAAAGCTAATATTATTTCAGTTTGCATAAGGCCTTGTGCATTAAAAAAAAAAAAACATTTTAAAAATAAAACTCTTGGAGCCACCTCGCATATATATAATAGGCCATAAGTTCACCTCTTATATAGACCTGACACTTAAACACTTATTCATTCACTAGCAAACAAAAATTGAAAGGAATTACCGAATAGCTATGACCAAGTATAGATTGAAATAAAATCACAAGCAATGGAGATACATAATGTTATAGGAATTGAAATAAAATCTATGATGCACCGACACTTCTCCTCAAAGAAGCGTGCAGTGTCCGACACCGTGTCCGACACGACACTCGTCCAACACTCCTCCGACATGTGTTGGACACACCGAAAATGTGTCCGATTAAAAAATATTAAATACAAAT